GCTGCGGCCGCGGCGGGGGCGGCCGGCGGCTTCCTGACGGCGGAGAAGCTGGCAGCCGAGAGCGCCAAGGAGCTGGTGGAGATTGCCGTGCCTGAGAACCTGGTGGGGGCCATCCTGGGCAAAGGGGGCAAGACGTTGGTGGAATACCAGGAGCTCACAGGCGCCCGCATTCAGATCTCCAAGAAGGGCGAGTTCCTGCCGGGCACGCGGAACCGGCGGGTCACCATCACAGGCAGCCCCGCGGCCACGCAAGCCGCCCAATACCTCATCAGCCAGCGGGTCACCTACGAGCAGGGGGTCAGGGCCTCTAACCCCCAGAAGGTGGGATGAGGCCTGTGCTCTACGCTCCCACCCCTCTCCCTGTCTCTCCTCTGCCTCCTCCTCCTCCTCCTCCTCCCCCAACTCCTGACCTCGGCTTGGTGTAGCCCTGCTCCTGTTGGGGTGGGGCCGGGGTAGGCCTGACCACACCCCCCTTCTGGTAGTCATAGGCAGGATTGAGTACTGGCCGGGGACGGGGCCCAGACGCCCCGTCCCCGGCCTTGAACTGACCCCCTCCTTCTCCCTCCCTATGCTTGACTGGGCCTTACCCTCTTCTCCCAGGGCCCAGGTCTGTGTGATATCTGTATATATTGCATTTTGTTGATTTTAATAGAAAACAAAGCGTTATTTTCTCTTTCTTTCCCTCCTTTTTTGTTTTGTTTTGTTTTATTTTTTTCTCTCTCTTGGTGAGGATTTCTTTTCTTTGTTTGTTTGTTTGTTTCCTTTTCACGTTTTGATTTCCATACGGGAGGAGGGGAGGGAGCCTCTGGCTCACCTGGATTGAGGGGCCTCCCCAAAAAATACAGCTCTCCACCTCTCCTGCCTTCAGTTCCAGACCCGAGGGAAGTGATGGGAGAAGAGGTAGTGGAGGAGTCTGCGCTGAAGTGGGGGACCTCTGGAGCAGGGGCCCCACACATCCCAGGTTGTCTCAGCTACTCTCTCTCCTCCCGCCAGAATCGCCCCCTCTCGGTGGGGATCTTCACTCTTTTGTTGTCAGGTTGTATTGGGGAAGGGGTGCCTTCTGGGAATGAGGCCAACTCTGTGACTGGGCCAGTGCCAATGGGCAAGACTCTTGGGAGAGGCTGGAGCAACTTCCTGTGGCATCTACTAAGGCTTGTCCTAGAGTAACGGGAATGAGCCTCCCTGTTGGGATGTCACTAAGAGTCAAGGACGTTCAGCAGTGCTTCTGGCACTCCTTATGATGTCACAGGAAGCAGTTCACCAAAGGTCACTAACGATGATGACAAGAGGGACAGGTGTTTCTTATGGTGTTTTAATGAGCCCTTTCCCGAAGGTCATTTCAGTGGTATCATGGGTGCATGGACTGCCTGTGATGTCTTGAGGTCACTTCCTGTGATATCATTGGGATGAAGCATCCACTTCCTGTATTGGGTCATGGCCAGTCACTGGCCCTTTCTCCACCTACACCCCATTTGGGGGAGGGGGTGATGGACTGGGGAGTCTTCCCAGGAAGAGAATGGGGGTGACTTGGATTCATTCTGGAAGACTCTAAGAAAAAGACCCAATACAGTTAGGGTCTCCATTCAAACCCACCAAGTCTGTAAACTCACCCTGGCAGGGTGGATGGAAGATGGAGCTAGCAAAAACTACTGTTAAAGACCCCTGTTCCCACCCCTACCTTTTGTATGCATGCTCTTGTCTGCGTGGCTTTGTTCCATTGAGTCTGGTGAGCCAAATGTGTGACGGCTCTTGTCAGGCCAGCGTGGCTCTGTTGTAGGGTTCAGTGAGGCTCGGTAGGGTCCCTCGGGCCAGAAAGCTTCATGGAGTCTGATGGGTTGGATTGGCCTGGTGGCTGCTGGCAAGCTGGCATACTTGAATGGTGTCTGATGGATCAGAACGTTTCGATGTGGTTCACCAAGGGCTCTGAGCAGCTACTAAGTTTTGATGGAGTCTTAACAGGCCAGGCAGCCCTGAGAGTTAGTTTGAGAGTGGCCCCTTGAGCACTGTGGCTGTGGTGTGCTCTAAGGACCTGTTGGCAGGCTGAGATTTTAGGGCCTGACAACCCTGTGGACTTAGGATAGCTGAGTCCCACCTCCGCCCCCCATCCATCCCCCGACCGATCACCTCCACTTTCCCCAAAGCAGGGCCTGTGTGCCCAGTTCCGTCATCAGCATTTCTCGGGAAGGGCATCCGACGCCCACCCCTTCCCTCATTCGTCCCCTTCCTCGGTCTTCCAGACCCTTCTCTTCTCCACGGCTTTGGGGGCCAGGCTGCCTCATCCCTCTCAAAAAAAGGAGGAAAGAGAAGCCACAGAGACAATTCCCACCCCTAAAGCCGGGAGACCCCTGCCCCTCACTGGAGGGCCACCCCCAAATCAAAATGTGAAAATTCCCTAGAAAGCAATAGTCCTCGAGGTACCTTGCACTGAATTCCCAGCCCAGCCCTTCCACCCGATGGGAGGCTATAGCTTGGGCACTGAGGTGACTTGTTCCATGCCCCCTTCCTCTCCAGGGTGGGGGGCCAGGCCCATCTCCCCTCCCTCATCCCCCACCTCCCATTACCCCCCACCCCTAATCTCCAGACTGAACCCAGATGGAGATGAGTGCCAAAACAATTCTTGATGTAACTTTGTACATATCTTCTGTAGCTGGGAGCTCTTGGGGTTGGAGGTGGGGTGGCTCCATGGGCCATGGCTCCCCTGCCCCTCTCAACGGACCTTACAGTATTTCACAATATCTCCACCCACGTGTGGCTGTTGCAGTATCTAGTTAGTGTCTCCCCCAGGTCCCCAGAAGGAAGGGAAGGAGCCAGGGAGAGAGGTAAAGTTTGGGTGCGGAGAGGAGGGATGGGATAGTGCCCGTTTGCATCTCATTTGCATCCCCAGCCAACCTAGACTTGGCAGATGTTTTCTGTAGACTCCTTCCAGGGAGTCTGAGTCCCAGTCAGCGAGTCCTGTGCTCCTTTCGCTCACACAGATACATCTCTGGAGGCTGGGCCTTCTGAAAAGTGTTCCCTTGGGATGTCTGTGTGACGACCACCTCCTTATTCACATGTCTCGGGGACCCTCACCCCTCCAGCCAGAGCTATCAGAAAGGTAGCTGGCTAGCTTAGTGAGCTGGCTTGCTCACCATGTTGGTGAGTGGGGAGCCACACACCTATCCCCATTTTACCCTGGGAATTCACCCCACAGTCTTCCCCGTCCCTTGGAAGTCCCTTCTGCAATCTGACCTCAATCTTTTGTGCTGCAGTTTGTCCAGAGGGGACACATGTGGGGTCAGGGATGAGGATTAGTGAAAATCCCATCACCTCTTCCCCCCTCACCATTAGCCAGTCAGATGATAGAGACTCTGATGGCCTCCCTGCATACTGCTCTTCAGCACCCAGTAGGTGCTTAATAAGTGTTTGCTGCATTGAATTGTCTCCCCATTCCTTCCCATTTGCCTCCAACTCCCCACATCCTCCCCCAGCATCTCTCTTTCTCTGGTCTTTATGACTTTCCATTTCATCTCCTTATGTCTCCCATTGTCATCTGTCTTGTCTCTATCTTTGTCTGTCTGTCTTTCCCCTCTCCTTAACTCTCTCAACTCTCTCTCCTCTATTTCCCCACTGATTAAAAAAAAAAAGAAAAAAAAGTGCCAAACTTCCTTGGAACTGAGCCACTCTGGGGGGAAAGGACCTCGAATAGAAGGGAGGAAATGGGACCATCTCTCTTGGAGAAGGCTCCTAAGAGGCATTGAAGAAGTCTGTGAACACTTAGCTAAACTGGATCCCCCTTCTTCATCCGTCCCACCCCGAGTTTTTCTTAGAATCTTTGTAAGAAAAAACAGAAAAAGAAAAAAAACTCTCCTCTTCAGCTAACCTCCCTACCCTTTTGGACCCCCAAATTCCACCAGCTGGGGAGAACCCCATTAGCCTCCTTCGGGCAGATCTGTAGAAATTGGAGAGGGGGGGTCTGTTCAACACCTCCTCTGCTGGCCCTGGGGGTGGTGCCAGGTGGACACGAGAAATGGATCCCAAAGCACTTAAGAGAAGAAGGGGTTCCATGTGCCAAATTCCCCTCCTCCATCCCCGTCTCAGGGGGCTCTGAGCCAACCTGCCCCAGTCACCTTTTGCCCTGTCCCAGCCATCTCTACGTGGGCAAAGAGGCTTTGCTGCAATAATTAGTAGGGGACAGAGATCTGAATGTGACAATTGTGCCATCTTTATCTGCCCTGACGCCTGCCCTGGACTTGTAGGTGGGAACGATGAGTATCCCAAATGGCACTTGGTGAGAGTCGACTTATAGACAGTTGGGAACTTATACTTGGAACAATATGGTACCACATCTTTCAGAGTGGTATAAATCCCCTCCTTAACGCCCAAATCCTTCATTATGCCCTTGTTTCGTTTCTCTGGCCTGTTCCTCCTTCTTCCTTTGTTTCTGCATGGTGGCCAACTGTTCGGAAAAGGAGAGAAGTCCCCTTGCACTCATTATTGCTCTTTCGAGACCGGAGTTAGAGGTTGCGATAGGCCGAGAGGTCATGTGGGCGTCAAGGCCGCTGATTGGGCGCACGCGCTATCGCGACAGCCAGGCAGGCCGCGCGGCAGCCCGGAAGCCTGAGCTGGATGTCGCGATAGGAAGAGCGGGATCGCGATGACCACGTGGTGGTTGGGCCCGGCGGGCCGGGGACTCTGGTTCTACGCTCTGGTGAAGTCGCGACACCCAGCTCTGCCATCGCGATCCCGCTCCACTTGAGTCAGCTGTCTGGATACCTGTGTGCTCGGGGGGCTCTGTTTATGGCGCCGCTGCTGTTGGTTGGTGTCGCCAGTCTGTCGAGATAGGGAGTGTTGGTGGTCGGGAGGGAGATGGGAAAAGTCTCTGTGGGGTGGGGGGTGATGAAGGCTGCTGGTTTTTAACCCCTTCTCAGCAAGTCCAGGACACTTGTCTCCCAGAGATAATTAGGGAGGAACCGCCTAACCCCCCTCCCCTACTTCCTTCTCCACCCCACCCCACCCCCCAAAACCACAACCTCTCATCTTCTAAGTGACTCCATCACCACCAGCCACCGGGACCTTCGGCCTCATTGCTCCAGCCTGCCCGCCCCACTCGACAGTCTCAGACTCGCTCATCGAACTCTTTTTGATTAACCCTTTCTGTGTTCATCCCACGGAAAACTGTGTGTCCGGCGAGGAGGAGGAGGGGGGAGGCGAGGGGCAGTAGCTACCTTCCCTCCATCTCCTCCCACCGCCCATGCCTTCCCACCCTCACCCCATCCCATACCCCACCCCTCACCCATACGGTTCGCCCCTCCCCCAATATGGGGGAAATGAGAACCTCTATAAATATCAAT